TGGAATTTATTCTCTACTTTTGAGATATTACTATTTTTAAAACCATAGGAGGGTTGTAATGATGATTTTAGATTAGATTAGCTTGTATTGAAAAGGTATTTGAGTATTGATATTTAATTTTTGGTACAATTGATTGTCAATTGGGTTTGTGTGCATGTTTTTCTTTCTTTTTTTTTCATGTGGCAAGTATTGATATTTTATATATAATTTAGGAATTTTTTAACGTCCACTTGATTTTAGAATTTATATTTGGATGGTTGTTAGGGATTAAACTTGTTAATTTATGTAAAGTGTGGAAGAAAATGATTGAGCATACTATATTTTTCTTTCTTAATTTGTACAAAAGGGTAATTTAGGATTTTTGTGAGAAAATCTATCTTGTTGGACCTACATTGTTATTAAACGTTAAAAGTAAGGGAGGAATATGTAATTTTTGAAACCTAAGAGGAGCTCTTTGTAATTGTTAAAAACCTCAGGAGAGCTTTGTGAAATTATCCCATAACACTAACATCTTTACTGAGAAGTTTGATTAGCTACTCTATACTGGGAATTAACACCTTTTTGCACACTCATTCTCACCTTTATCATATATTTTATCCTTATCTTATCCATCTTAAACTAAAACAAACACTTCTCTAGCTGTTGGAGGGGAGAGAAGGATGCCATCTGCCTTTGTGACTAATAAATGCTCCTGTTATTGGCGTTTGTGTTTGCAGCTGAAATCCAAAGAAATCTAACGTGATAGTGTATACACTGTCAGTGTATATCAGATTTACTCATACATGGATTAATCTATCCTGCACTGACAGTATATACTATGAATGACAACTATGCAAAATTTGAATTTGAAATTCAACTTTTGCACACATATCACAAATTAAACGCTGATAGTGTATACACTATCAGTGTATACTCTACATATATACACACATGAAAGTAGCTATTTTAATTAGCGTTGTTTCTCACTCCTACGTCACACACCTAATTGAAGAGAATTAACGGGTAATGAGTCATTTGGATTTTACCCATATTAAATCCTAATTGGATTATATTATATGTTTATAAATTATCTCTAATTTTAAAATAATTTTAAAAAATAACTAATCTTATTTTAAATATATTGTTTTAAAAAATAACTAATCTTATCTTAATGATTCTGCTTTCTATCAAATTATTACATATAGAACTATAATAAAACTTTTTTCAAATCATAATTATTGAAATCTTACATATTCCAAATTACTTTCTTTCACCACCATACTGTTGATTAGCATTCAAATTGTTCATTATTTCTTTCCTTTATTTTGAATTAACTTAATGTAAAAAAAAGAATTAACTGTTACACCGATAGATTTACCAATATTGTTGGAAACTGAATATTTAATAACAAAGAAAAATAAATTACAGATATGAACCACTGTATCTACTACAATAACTCAATTTTAAATAGTTAAGGTTGAAATTTCCTAAAAGTTAAAAGAGGTTTCTCGATTCATATCACCATTAGACTAAAGTCACTTGGTTGACTGGTATATTGGAGATTATAAATTGCCGTATGGTACCAGTAAAGACAAATGGAAGAAGTTAGCAAACGAAAGTAAAATACTACTCTACTAGTGCTTCCTTAATTAGCCGCAACTAGCAACTTAGCACTTTAAAATTTTCAGCCTTATTCTTCTACTTTTTTTTCCGGAATCGGAATGAAACACACACACCCAAATAATATCAGACACGCAGCAGGCATCAGCAAACCGACCCAAAGGCAACCTAAGCGGGACCCACGTAGCACACATGTTCAGCCAATTGATGACAGGACGATGCACCCATGGAACTTAAGCTCAGGGAAAATATCCCACAATCTACCGATATGGGATGGGCCTTATTCTTCTACTTGGATAAGAGGATTTCCAACTTCCACACTCAGTGTTACTTGTATTATATTGAAGTTTGACTGTCTTTTCCTTAGACTTTTCCTGTTGGAATGTTTTCAGTGCATCACTCCACCCCACGAGGGTTTGTTTGGACAGTGAATTGTTTGCTAAAATTTATTTACTTGCATTGTCAACAATAGAACGAGCTCAATCAACTAAAAACAAACAAACAAAACATGAAAAACAGAAAAAGTACCTTAGAAGCCTCTTGGGCTGTTGGTATAAATGTCTTGGTGGGGATTGCCACTTAATTGTGGCTTCCTCCGATGGACGAATTTCGTCTAACTCCCTCTCACCTTAGGTTAGGCCAAAATAGGTTATATAAATGTTATCGTTGCGATAAAAAAAAAAAAGAATTGTATTATTAGATCCTAATGCAATAAATAACTGGTTGGCAAACTCGAGCAGCTTTGAGGACTTGCCTTAAATTATTGTCTCTTGATAGCTCGAATCAAGATCATGTTTTTTGTTTAGCCAAATACTAGCTAGTAGCGTATTCTTCTTTTACATGCAAAAAATTCCTTGATACACCACGCTATTCTACATATGCAAGCTTTGATTGATGTATACATAACTTGCATAAACCTCTGCGTTGCTTGTCAAGATGTTATCTGACCAATTCCATTGTGGCACTGCATTCTTTCGTCACGATACAGCATTATACAGTGATTAAGTTTCTTACCGCATATTTAGTAGACCAGCACTAAAATCTTGTTCTTATAGACAAGATTAGTGGTGATCTGACACGCAACACTAAACAACATATGTATACAAGCCAAACATGAGCATCAAACCAGGGGAAATTTGACAAAAAGAAAGAAAGAAAGAAAGAAGTCGTGGGAACTTTAATCTTCAGCAAATGTGCTTATTTCCCTGTAACTATACCGTAGTTATGGGAACCCTTAAAAGGATCTATATATAGTTTATATTAGGACATAACAGAATCTATGTACAAGTACAGACTCAGAAAACTTTTTAACAAGATAGCGATCTTATTTATGGAGGAGAAACAGTAGTACGTAGGAAAGACGAGCGGTCCTGAGCATGTTTCGGCAAGGATTTTGGACAGGGAGTCCATGGTCTAGAGGCCATCGTAATAGCCACCAACTGTGATACGAGCTCTGGTGATGGGAACGCCTCTTACTGCTGAAATTGCTTCATTCAACTTGGTTGCATGGTGAACCACTCGCTTCAACCTCTAAATGTCAAAACACAAAATAACAATAATGGCTGCTCGGATCAGGATTTGATCATTTATGAAAGAAATGGCTCGATCTGATCTGACACATGAACAATTTACTACTACTTGTTTTTCTATCGTTCATTACCCCCATTGATTTCGACAATATTTTTAACAACTCTGTGATCATTCTTCAATACCTGATCGAAACCATCAAATCTTGTACCAGTATATTTTCAATCAGGTAATCACTAAAAATCAAGAATTGGGATGATCCGGGGAGAGCTGTTAATATAGTTGAAAAGATGGATACTTTACTTCAGGACAGAAAAGAGATGCTAATGAATCCAAGAGTTATGGAAAACTTTGCGTACCTTGTCTTCAGTGTAAATGTGGAATTGAAGCTTCTGATTCTGTTGTTGCTGCTGCTGCTGCTGCTTATTCTTTCGGACACCTCCGAATACAAGGATGCAAACTGTGGCAACACCAAAAGAACAAATAGCACCTATTCCAGTTAAGCTCCACTTCAGTACATTCAGCCCACCATGATTCTCTTCCCACTTAACCTCTTTTTGATTGTCAGCGTCATCCATCTTGATCATCTTTCCTTCTGGATCAATTTTCTGTCTTGGAGAGGAAATCTTGGTTGTTTCCAGAGCCTCACCAGCAGCTTTATAAGTGTCTGCTTTCTCCTCAAACTGAAAGGCACCCGCGTCAATTTGAGGCTTGATCCCCCTAGCGGTGTGGCTGCTGCTGCTGTTGTTGTTGGACTTGGGCGAGTCCAGTTTCATGTCGGCAAATAATTCAGTTTCCTTCATTTTCTTGAAGAAAACCTGCGAGACTAGATCCTGATCAGCTTCCCCTGTTATTATCTTGGGACTTCTGATGGATGTGTCAAATGGGGCCTTAATCACTTGTTTCAGCCCTTGATCGTCAACTTCGGGGATCTGATTCTTAAGTGCTGGCTCCAGCTGAATTGGGATTGGCACGAGCTGATTAGGCACTCTGGCCGCCGTCTCTGCAGTAGTTTCGACAAATTTTGATGATTTTGGAGATGGGCATATGAAGTAATTCTTGAAAACATTCTCAGAGGCAGTGGTTGCATATTTTCTTGAGAAAATCTTCTTCCCATCATCATCATGGATTTTAAGAAATCCATCATCAGGGAGGACTTCCCACTCTTCAAGACCCTCCATTTTTAGTTTTCTTAGTTCTAGCAAAAGATCGCACTAGCTAGGGAGAAAAGAAAAGTAGGGAATGATGAAAAATTTGGGTTGGATGGTGGGGATGAATTATTAGGTTCTTCAACGAAGGTGGCTTTCATGGAGTGTAGCGAAGGAATACTATTCAGACCAGGCCACCACCACAGCCTCCTCTCTACCTCTATTATGATGTCTTCTTGCTCTTGGAGTGAAGACTGGAAACCAGCATTGAGAGTAAATATGATGTAATTAGGAGCTTATCCTTCTAAAAGGTGACAAAGGGATCATGGTCCCGACGGGTCCTACCTTAGAGAAAAACCCCCTTCCCTTTGATTAGGCTACTGGATATTTTTTTTTTTTCAATTTCCTGATTTCTTTGTTCCTATAGGCTTTAGTACCATTCGCCAATAGTTTGTTAGTGTCATTAACACTCTGTCTGCTGATTTCATATTCTAATAATTTTCTCTTCATCTCATCCATAAAAGTAGAAGCTTCAAGATGGAGACTTGTTCTTCCACAAGAGATTCCCTTTTAATTTCGCTCCCATTTTTCTGCAATAAAAAAAATGAGAAAAAAGTGGCGATTGCTTGAGGGAGTTTGCTTGGGATGATGCTGACTCTGGGGGTCACCTATAGGGAAAAAAAAATAGACAAAGAAAGGGAAAGGGATGATGAATCATGAAAGTGAAAGTGAAACTCCCCCCTCATACATGTACAACTGTCCGTGAGGAAGTATCTTTATTGGATTTTAGCTATCTATCTATCTGTCTCGATGTGCAGTATCCTGCATTGATTTTCCAAGCCATATAATGTTCAACTAACGCACAGCCCCACAAGGAGTTGCATTTTTGTCAAAATTTTAACACAAGGGGTTACAAATTTTTCTCAAAATTTGAAGTGCAATGGTTACCATATGGGCCAATAAATTATTATGTCTACTCAGTTTGCTACCTTGATCAGGAGCTTGAGTATGTGCTTTTTCTTGTTCTGCTAATTTTCGCTAGTGTTTCCTGTTTGCTTCTTGGTTTTGTTGTGTTAGTACGCGACTTGCATCTCCAGATTTGTCTCTTTCTTTTTCAAAGAAAAGCACAGGAGAAGGAGATGTTTCTGAGAACATTGCAGGCTGTCACAGAACACGGAAGATTCAACGTTGTCATTTTCCTGCAGCAGCATGCTATTAACGGGCCGTCCGTGAGGGCTTCTTCAGGTAAAATTCCTACGTACCTGGTGTGACCATGTAAGAGAAGGTGAAAGGTTGTCAATGGTGAAGCGTGGAGCCACGACCAAACGCCTACTAAACGATGCAAAGGAAAAGGACCACCACAGGCTCCAAATGCTGCCTATGTTAAAGCAAGACTGAAAGGGAAATGCTTAGGAAATGGCTCATTAAAGCTCAAGCACATTGTCCAGTAAAAGTTTCCTCCGTAGCCAACAAATGAGGATCAACAGTAGTCTCATGGATTTATAGTGCTATCCTGTCGTATTAGCATATAGAGAATTGCAGACTAATGTGCCATCAACAATGGGAATGGAACTCAACTTCCAAAGTCTGAAAAATGGATACAAAAGTGTTTCTTTACCATTGTCATGTTTCACGACTCTACCATATTAAAATGTTTCTTTCAACATAATTTACATGGAGCTATTTCTGATGTACAAGGCCATCCATCCACTCCCACCTTGCTCACAACTTTGGGATGGAGGTTAGATGAAAACAAAAGACAAAGTAACTCTTACCTATAAAACCTTTTGGTGTCACTCTATAGAGTTTATGAATATTTTCACAGTAAAAGTGGGATCAAATTTACCTCAAGATCACAATTTAGATAGCGAAGTTTCACCCAAGGAGACGGAAGCGAAAGACGAAGCAAACACTCTTGCATTGCTTGCACCCAGGTGGAAATTCCTGTGATTACACAATCTAATCTTGGTCCAAACTCTCTTGAAATCAGTCATCTGAAAGATCTGCCCTAAGATTTCGCTTGTCCCTCCAAAAATTTCCAAATTCAAATGGGGGCGGAAAGATACCCAGAGATTTCTTGAATGAAAAAGGAATTTTGGGCACACGTACACCATCACTCGTAAAGAAAGGAATAACACAGAGAAAAATAAGTAGGGCTCTCTTGTCAACGTTTCCTTTGCAGATGACCCACATCGCGATACCACCATGGACTTTCCACCAATTCCTGAATTGCCAGACTGATCCACAGCAATGTATTGAACTGGTTCATGTCCTAGCATTTTTACAAAACCAGGTGATGAGCAAAAACAATTGCAACAGACACAGTAATCCAAATTCCATCCTCAGATGCATGAGGAAAGGACTAATTGCTCATAACAGCAGGCCTTATTGTCAATTAATAGCGTTATAAGGAACTGGAACAGGCAAAATAAGCTATCTATGCACTTTTCACCACCAAATGATTCATAAAAGGAAAATGGACAGATCAGTGACAGACCGACTTTGTACGGAAAAGGCATACCAGTGGTTTTCTTGTAAAATTTGATAAGGGAGTCTAGATCTTTAGAACCACGAAAACGGGTCCTGGACTTTTGGCTCACAATTATTATAGCTGGTAAGCTATGTATGCCATATCTTGAAAACAAGCTGTAAAGAAATCCACAACAGCAAGTGAGCAAACAGGAAAAACTTAAAATGACAGGTTATTTTAAAAAGAAAATACTAAAACATAAGCTTGGAAAATAAACAGATATCGCCACAAGATTACACCATCTAACTTCATGCAAAATTTAAGCTCTCACAGTAATAGTCTATATTTAGGCAGGTACAGTACAGTTCAACTATAATTTTCCCTTTTTTTTTTCTCATTTTTGCTTTTAAAAGCAATATACAAGTAGCAAAATGTTAATTGGAATGGCAGTCATTGCTTAGGCTAGTTTTTACTTGTCAAAATCATACTCCGTTGCAGCTATTGGAAAATCAAGCTGATCTTCTGTAACTTAAGTGTAATACCTAGGAGTATATCATGAAGGCAAAGTAACTTCAAATTTACCTTGGCACAGTTGAAGATTGTTCAACGGCTAAATGATCAATTTCAGGATACAAGGAATCCAAGACTTCAAAGGCTGAAAGGGCATCCTGTGAAAATGGACACCAGGAGGCATAGAAAAGCACAGCAGTATATGTGTTCCCTGATTTGGAACTTAGGGCACTCTCGCGGGAGTCTCCATTCATCTTAAATGCACCAACATCGTAATGTTATAATTATAGTACAAGTTTTGAAATTTTCAGTAAGACATTATAGGTATTACAGGACCAGTATAGTCAGTGCAGTATAAGGAAAATTTTCAACTGTTACTCCAGCTGAGACCATAACTACCATTTAATAGTACGTAATGAATCCCTGAAAATTTGGTATCACTGATATTTGTATTTTCCCCTAGATATACTGAATTAGGATAAGGAAAATTTCCACAGATAAAGTCTGTGGTCTTGAAATTGAATGCGGAAGAGTTGGTATCAGAACAAACCAATAACCAATCAGATTCTTAAGGTCAACTATACTTTCTTTTACTGGAGCTTGATCTAACAGATTTGGACGCAGACTATTTGTCAACACTTTTAAGTAACTGCATCTATGTCATAAGACAAATGCATAGTCGTGGACTCATCCTATATTTATGGAATGATGAAATGCCCCAAAAGGGGCAAAAAAATATGCAGAGCTGATTTTGCGAGAGTAACCGAAAATGCATATTATGCGACAAACCATAATACTAAATGACAATCAAACAAGACCCTGCATGCTTCACAACAACAAGGACAAATTCCCAAAGACTATAGAACGAAAAAGATGGAGTCCAGCGAAAATAAGAAAAACTAGCTTAAGAAAGGCAGGTTAAGGCCCCATGAGAGTTGTTTCATCATAAGCAAGTTCCCTTTTTCGCTCTCTGTATAATATTGTTTCTTTAACTTAAATTTACTATATTTACTTTTCATGCCAAGTATACCCTGAACCACAACTATCCTTCAGGAATGTTGACTTCACTTGTAGCAGAAAATCACCAATATGCAGTTAGATTTCTGATATCACAATTCTGAAAGCCCTGCTTCAGATTAGCCCACTGATCTGCACATCCGCCAGAAGTATTACAGCTCCTAAAAGAAGTGAACAAGAATCCAATTTTGCTTTTGTAAACTGCTCGTCACATGCTTAGAAAACCTGAGACCTAGGCTCGTGTTAACATATTAGCCCCAAAGTAATTGTAACCTCAGTCAACAGATCATTTGAAAAACTACCCATGAACAATGTCACAGAGAAAAAATGAAAAAAAAGTCCACATTTTTCTTTCAGACAAACAGACTTATTTTACAGTTAGAAACTAGAATTCTCTTGATAACTGCAATTGCAAACAGACTATAGATCCAGATTTTCTTTCTACAAGGGAAATTCCAAAATTTAAATAATTGCTTTATGTAGAAATAGTTAGATTCGTCTTTGCATGTCCAATTCTGGCAAGGGCAACACCTAAACCAAGTTGAGGATAAAAAATTTTCCATGGTCCCACCTTTGACTTTGTAAACCCTGAACTAGCTAAATCAATTTCTATGTTGTATACCACATATCCAAGAAATTTCTCTTAAATGCCCCAAATAAATTAAATATGTGCAGATGATTCAAAATAAAGAAGAAAGAAAATCCATTACCAAAGGAGGAAAGGATAGTCTATGAAAGATGCTATTCTGACAACTATAACCAATGGCTGACAGGTTTGCACAAAAGTACAACTTTGAGGAGCTTTATCCACAACTTTTTATCAGAAACAGTTACCAAGTAGGTATTCATCAAGTAGACTAAAATCACAAGGAATCATGCACCAGATAAAAATTATTGTCAACATTAACTTATCATTAGAAAATTCTTCATTCTAGACAACTTTTAAACATCTATAGATCTGGTTTCATTCAGAAGACAAATTCTGATTTTGGAGTCTTATACTTTAGTTTTTCTCCAGTATCATACAATATCCCTCATTTTCTAATTTTGCATCTTTAATTAATCTTCTACTATTTGGAGACATCATCATCCAGTAAAGAGTCAACATCTTCTACTATTTGGAGACAATGGTAGTGATAACATCGGTTCCTTTTTAGGGTAAATTTATACCTCTTTGTTGTTTCCTTGTATTTCTTTCTTTTTGGCATTGCAATTTATGTTCATTGTCTTGGTTTCACCACTGGGAACAATGTCAATTAATTCACCTTATGATTAATATGCAACCTTAACATCTTGATTGTTAAAGCCAAACTCATAGATAGAATAGGATCATGTGTCCAAAACACAAGAAACTTAATAAGCCAGTACAGATACACGCAGCCTCAGGGCTGGGCACCGGAGAAAATAGCCAACCAGCACATGCAGATATGAAGTTGTTTGGAGAAATCCTCAAGCTTAAAGAACCACGAGTTTGAAAAAACACTGGGTTTTTTTGGTCATACTCATTTCTAGATATAGCAGTGATCTTAAACATATCCCTTACGTCTAGTTAGCTATTCCACATCTAGTTCATCCACAGTGAGAAATGTTGTCTAGGGCTTTGGAAACGAGAAACCAACCAAAAGAAATAGATAAGAAGATTCCTCTTAAAGGTACCTTTCAGCAAAGTGCCTCTTTAAACATAAGGAGTATATAAAGTTACAAGACCTCGTCATATTAAGCTGTTATCCAATGAGCACTTTGACCCAAGCCTATGCAGCAACAAATGCTAAAATGACATATCTAAACAAGTGCTTTTTGTTTAAACAATTTTGTTCTCTTTCATATGAAGGGCTGGGAGTGTTCAATATATGAGCAAAATAGATTCTTTGACAACACAACCATTTATAAAGGCTTAGTTCAATGTGTCTTAAATGTTAAGCCCGGTACGAAAGATCTGGGCAGACTGTCCTGAACAAAGTTCCTTCAGATCCAAATTCAGGTGCTCGTTCAACTAACTATTGAGATGCAGCTTTGGATGTTTAACTCATTTTCTTCCTTATGGACTGAAAGTATATCCGCGCAATGTGAATAGAAGAAAGGAAAAAAAAATCCTAAATTAAGTCTTAGTCTGTTTGTAAAGAATACTTTCACTCAGATCATATTCAACAAGAAAAGTTTGACAGCTTCAGGCTTCAGGCCAAAGTATACAAGCTAAACTTGGAAAATTTGCATCAAACATCAAAAATCCATTCTTTCCCTTCCACTTTAATCAAAGTTTTCTGCAGCAGTTAACATGGAAAATTTTCTAAGTTCGACCTTTATGGGACAATAACATAACGCAGCATAAGCAAAAGGCAACAAGTCAATTAGAATATTTCATTGGGGCCAAGAAACATCATTTGATGACCATCTAAATAAACTATTCGTACAAACATTAGAGCGAACAAGGGCTCTACCTAAAGAGAATCGCCCATGGAAAGTCGAAAAATAAGGTAGATACCAACCTCCTCAAAAGCCAAAACAAGGTTCATCCCTTGCTTAGAATTTGAATGCTACAACTTTGAACATTTTTATTGTAAACAACAACATATTCAAATACACACCCACACACACTCGTTTTAAGGTTCACCAAACAGTCAACATATTTATTCCCAAATTCCTTTCCCAAGCACCACAAACAGTAGAACAGAACTAAACACTGATTTTCAGTCAGATAAATGCAAGATTTACCCAAAAAAAAAAAAAAGAGCTAACGAAACATAACTAAAAGTAAGAAAAACGAAAAAGGAATGCACTTGAAAAGACGGGAAAAAGTCAGGAAAACATTACCAATGTAAGTGTAAAGCACTCAAATGCCCAAAAAAATGAAAATAGAATTTAGAAAGGCTGAAATTCAAAAAACCCTGTTAGACAAATTTCAATGGAGGATAAGGAAACGGACAAAAGAACAAAAAATTACCTCAACGGGGAAGTTGGGACGGTAATAGGAAAGATGGCACTGAGAAAGCAGATGAGTAAGAAAAGGAGGGTTGGATTGGGGTGAAGGAGAACGGCACATAGCTGGCGACGCGGATGATGAGGCGACAGCGCATGAACGACAAACTCCATAGCAAATGCATATCCAAAGGAGCATCGCAAGTCTCAGAAACACGACCATTTTCAGCAACAAGTTTCCGACTTTTTTCGATTTTCTCTTTTGGGTTTGGGGGAGAAGGGAGAGGGGAGTGTGCTGGCCTTGAAAATTTAGTCCCAATTCTCAACGTCGAAGAAGAAGAAGAGGACAAGGACAAAAGGAAGCATAAAGCAAGGAAGAGTAGCAAAGTGTAGCAGCTTTCTCCCATTCCCTCCCTCCCTCCCACGGTAGCCAAAGTTTGAAGCAATTTTCCGTTTTTTGCGTCCAAATCGCCTTTTTTTTTTTTTTGGCCTTTTTATTTCTCCCAATTTCAAATTTTTTAGCTGTAGTATTAGTGAATAAAGTTTGATTTTATCACACTATTTTACTAACTCAAAAATTGGATATAATAAAATTTAGATCACATGATTCATAACACTGGATCTATACAAGTTTTTATCTGAATAAATAGGTAACTAGTAACTGTTTGGATTAGGAGTGCAAACGAATCAAGTCGAACTGAGTTTTGACCTAATCGAGCCGAGCTTTTAATTAAGTTTGTGAAGCTAGTTTGTGAAGCTCGAACTCGACGAGCTCAAAATGTCGAGTTCAAACTCGAGCTCGAGTTTAAAAAATAAAATAATAATAATAAATTTATTTTTAAAAATTTAAAAATAATTATTTATTTTTAAAAATAAATAAAATAATAATTTTTTAATAAATAATAAAATATTAAAAATATATGTGTAATTTTACTATTAAAATAAAAAATATATATATAATTGAGCTCGCGAGCCAACAAACTTAATGTTTTTGAACTCGAGCCGCTCGCGATCGGCTCGCGAACGGCACCATTCGTGAACACTCCTAGTTTGGATAGAGTGTTATTTGAAATAATTACTATAATATTTTTTGTGATATGATATATATGAGATAAAAATGTGATTAAAAATATAAAAAAGATGGATTGAAAAATGTATTTAAAATGCAAGTGAAATATTATTTAAAAAAATGGAGTATTCAAATAGTATTTATTCTGAGCTGATTTTCTTCCAAAAAAGAAAAATGAGAAAGAAAAGTCTGCCAAGTGGGATGGATGGATGGGATTCTAGATGGTCAGGTCAACCACGTCTCAAATGTCCACCTCATTCAATAATATCCACCTCATTCAATAATATCCTCTTAAATAAATAAATAATTATAAACAGCTGCCAAACAAGTGTTCAGGCAAGACCAAAGTGTTTCTTTATCGTCATCTGCACTGCAAGTTCTTTTCTTTGTGCAGTGTCCAAAACTCCAGTTTATGCCAACTTTAAAGCTGCTTTCGTCGGACATCCCATTCTAGCCTCCTTCACCTTTAATGTTTCAAAATTCGGACAGTTAATTGAACCGGTGAGATGTTCGAGTCGAGATTCAACCATCAGATCGATTCAATCCTGATTCAATGAATTTTTAAAAAAATAATTTATATAAATATATATGCATAAAATAAGGCATGTATTAGACTAATTTAAGACTTTATATGATGAAAATTTTAATATTTTCAAAGAACTTGAATTTTCACAAATAAATTTTTTAAATTATAAGTTTAAACAAATAAATTTCATCTCAATCTTAATTGAATTTATCAAAAAAATAATGTTAAATTCAACTAAAAAATATCACAATATTTTGAAATTATACAAAATTCATGTATATGGAAATTAAACATTGTGAGTTTAAATTTTAATTCAAGTTTTTGATATTTAGATATTGCAACTTTAAAAAAAAAAAAAAAAGAAGTTTTGAATTTGGAGGAAGTCAAGAAAATAGAAAATAAAAATACAAACTTGATAAGAGGGAAAAAATGAAAAGAAAATGAGTGAATGTTGCATTTAATAATTAATTTTTAGGGTTAAAGAAAACATATTCTTTTTTAAAAAAAAAATTCAATTTAATAGACAAAAACAAAAGAAATCGCCAGTTCAACGATTCAATCCAGTTCGCACGGTTCAATCCGATTTTTATGTATAATCAACCCAAAGTATAAACCGGATTAGAGCCAAGGCCGGTTCACAATCCCGACCGATCGAATCAGACGGTCCAGTCTAGTTTTTAAAACACTGTTCACCCCCTCCCAAAGATCTTCATGATAAAAAGCTAAAAGCGGAATTCATACACATTTCACATGCACGCGCAGAATTTGAAAGAGAGACAAAATATTAATCAGAGTCTGTCATAGCAACCTGCTGCTTCACATTGAAATGGCTTCTTATAACACAACAAATATACACATTATCTCTGTTGATTTGCATATACAAGGATGTTCGGTCCATCGTTTGTTTTCCCACGACAGCGAGAAATGGAAAAAAAATCCAGGATGGAATACAACTCAGATAACAAAACTTCCCCTATAACAAAACTAAAACCTTCTTCCACTGTTTCCGCTTTGCAAGTATCAGATGCTAGAGTTACATGATGACCATCAGGATATGTGCTACAGTTTTATCCTTTCTTCGCCCAGATTTCCTGGAGCATTGACGTTTCACCTAAAGAGACTGAAGCCAGAGAGGACGCCCACACTCTGGCATTCCTTGCACTCTGGTGGAAGTTCCTGTTTTTGCAAATTCTCAGCTTGGACCAAGCCCTCTTCACATCAATCATCTGAAGAATGCGCCCCAAGACTTGGCTCGTCTCTCCGAAAATTTCCATATTCAGATGAGGCCGGTACGATGCCCATACATCTTCGAGACGGTATAGAACGGTTGGCATTACATATACCAGCACACGCAAAATTAGGAACAATACAGAGAATATTAAGTAGGGTTCCCTAGTAACCATCTCACGAATGGATGACCCCATCCATGATTGCACGATCAACTTCGGACTTGTTACAGAGCTGCCAGACTGGTTTGCAGCAACGTATTGAACTGGTTCACTTCCTACACGCAAAACAATAAGATGAAGATCAACAATAAACATATTTTAGTTGCCCCTGCAAAATAATATCTGTATTGACTGCCCACCCAAGGAGTTCAACAAATTTACAATATTATCACAAGACCTAAAAATAATAGATAGAATTGCTCAAAGAAGATCAGAACGCATTCCTTCCAAATTAGCTATTAAACCATGATACAATCATAAAACCACCATTCCAAATTAACAATATACTTGGTCATGAGTACAAGATCCACGGGAGCATGGAATTCAGCATTAAAAAGCATTAGACAGCCAAGTATATGATTTCACGGTAGCAAATTTAACGTAAAGATAAGAGATTTATATGCTACAAAAGTTCCCGGCAGAATCACAATGCATCCAGGGTATACAGACAAATAAACTAGAAAGTCATACCAGTGGTTTGCTTGTAGAATTCAACAAGAGAGTCAAGATCCTTGGAACCATAAAACCGCGTTCTTGACTTTTGTTTCACCATTACTATAGCTGGTAAGCTATGTATGCCAAATCTGGAAAACAAGCTGAAACAATAACCACAAAAAGCAGTTCAGTAGACCATAAAAACTAAAGTCCGTGGGATCTCTAAGAGGTTCCAAAAGCAAACAAGAAACATAGGCTCAGAGTCTTAGCAAATCAGAACACAAGCTTGAATATATAAAGAGAACATAAGCTCAGAGTCTGAACAATCAGACCACAAGCTTGAATAAATAACATTCTAAAAAATTCTCAGCCTACACAATTCTTTTGACTATGTCACATAGACTATAATGTGAGTACTTATTCTTGAGCGCATATTTGAAGAAACTTCATTCATTCCTGTCCTGTATATCTCCATTCCTGTGTACAGCGAGAACAGTTATTTCACTGGTCAAAAGACAAACACTAGGAGGCGCCAGCATGCTGAACATGCACTGTTTTGGTGTCCTTCTGCTCATCAATACTAGGATATCCCAGAAGAACACTTAAATTTGTGTTGAGTACATCTTAGTAGGATTTCATTTTTTTCTTGGTAGAGCAACAAGGCCGACTTCAAGTCAACTTGATGTTTGCCCAAATCCAACAGATATTACCATACTAGCACCGAAGCCATATCCAGTGGGCGGCACAATTGCTTCATGGTTGAATGAAGAACCCATGTAGCAATTGCTAGAATGGTCTTTCTTTTGGTTGGTGCTGAATAATCCTCTCCTTTCGAGGAAGAGACTCAAAGCACTTATATGGCAGAAAAGAGACCAAGTGTGGCAAAACTTCTATGAATGGATGTTGTTAAAAGTGATTGTTCTGGTATAGCAAGTAGGAATAATGCTTTCTTCTTCCTTTGGGCAAGGGTCAAAGGACATCTAGCTGTGATGAACAGAGAAAAATCAGCTTCTTACCTTGGCGTAGCTGAAGATTGTTCTACTGCTAAATGTTCAATGTGCGGATACATGGAACTTAGCACTTCAAATGTCATATAAGCTCTCTGCGAAAACGGACACCAAGAAGCGTAAAACAGCACAGCAGCATAGCTGTTTCTTGCTTTAGAAGAAAGAACTCTCTCAAGCAAGTTGCCATTAACCTGAAAAATTATGACATATAGTTATTCTTCAGTATAAAATTATTTGAGAAAGAAACTGTAATGGAACATGCAAATTCAATTTTAAGGACTGCCAAGAAACCATATAATGACTTTCTTCTTAATGCAACATACTGCAGAGGATGCTGTGCTGTCAGAAATGGGCTCTAGCATTTGCTCTATTCCGTATATTACGAAATGCACCATCTTTTCGTGCGTTAACCTAACCTTTTCCCAGTCACACATTAATGTATGACATATTGCAGCCCAAAGAGAGAGACGGACTTGTTTTCAGTAGAAATTTAGAATGTACGGTATAAGTAAACTTGAAATAATACAGACTAAACTGCTGAAATAATACTCAGTCAACAAGACAAGGCAAGGGGTCTGCTAGTTTAGTTCCAAAAACAGTGTAAAAGGAAGACCACAAGAAAATGCGACATGCCAACCACAGATTATAAAGGCTGTAATAGAGGCAGCAGCTACAAATCGTTCAATGAGAACTATATTCTCCAGAACCCCAAAATCAGAATAAATATTTTATTACCAGCAATATCTAGTAATATACCACCCCATATATGGACATACTGACATATAAGAGAAGCGTTGCGTAATTAGGTATTGTACAACTCATTTTAAGGCATGCTCTGCAAGTTATTCATGCTGTTTTTACACAAGTATTTTGAATGCTGTTATCACAATATTCCCACAAATACATACTCATCCATATATAATAACG